TTACACCATATATAAAAAATTACCATATACAGAAATAGATGAAAGACCTAAACTTAAGAGCTAACACTGTAAAATTCTTAGAAAAGAAATTAGGGAAAATCTTCATGACATTGGATTTGGCAACAATTTCATGGATAGGACACCAAAAGCACAGACAACAAAAGAAAAAACAAATACATTGGATTTTATCAAAGTTAAAAACTTTTGTGCCTCCAAGGATACTATGAAGAAAGTAAAAAGTCAACTTGCAGAATAGAAGAAAACATTTGCATACCATATATTTGACAAGGGATTGATATCCAGAATATATAAAGATCCCCTTCAATTCAACAACAACAACAAAACAACAACAAAACCCGATAGAAAAATGGGCAAAGGACCTAAATAGACATTTCTCCAAAGAAGATATTTGAAAGGCCAACTGGTACATAGAAAGATGCTCAACATCACTAGTCATTAAGAAAATGCAAGTTAAAACCACAATGAAATATCACTTCATACGTGTGTTAGAATGGTCATCACCAAAAAGACAAGAGGTTAACAAATGTTGGTGTGGATGTGGAGAAAGGGAAACCTGTGTGCACTGGGTTTGGGTGGGAGGGAGTGTAAACTGTTGCAGCCACTATGGAAAATAGTGTGGAGGAACCTCAAAAAATCAAAAATAGAACTACCATATGATCCACTTCTGGGAATATATCCAAAGGAAATGAAGACACTAACTTGGAAAGACATCCGCACCCTCATGTTCATTGCAGCATTATTTACAACAGCCAAGACATAGAAACAACCTAAGTGTCCATCGATGGATGAACGGATAAAGAAGTTGCGGTGTATATAAATACATAATGGATATCATTCATCCATAAAAAACAAGGAAATCCTACCATCTGCCACGACACGGATGAACTCAAAGGCATTAAGCTAGGTGAAATAAGTCAGACAGAGAAAGACAAATAATGTGTGATTTCAACTTATCTGCAGGATCTAAAAAAACCAAAAACACAAAAAACAAAACTCAGAAAGAGAGCAGATTTGTGGTCACCACAGGCAGAGGGTGGGGGGGAAAGGGAATTGGAGAGGGTGGTCAAAAGATACCGACTTGCAGCTCTGAGATAAATATGCCCTAGGGCCATGAGGTACAATGTGATGACTCTAACTAACACTACCACGTGATATACAGGAAATCTGTTAACAGAGTAGGTCCCAGGAGTTCTCGTCACAGGAACATTTTTTTCCTTTTTTCTTTCCTTCTTTTCTATTTATTGTATTTTTATGAGAAGATGGATGTTAGCTAAACCTACTGTGATAATCATTTCACAACATATGTAAATCAAACCATCATGGTGTCACGCCATAACCTTATATATTCATGTATGTCAATTATTTCTCAATAAAACCAGGGGGGATAAACCAACAAAAAGGAGTCGAGGAAGCCACAACAAGATACCACTTCATACCCACTAGGATAACTATTAAAAAAAAAGGGAAAATGATGAGTGTTGGCAAGGATGTGGAGAAATGGCAACCCTCACACACTGCTGGTGGGAATGTAAAATAGTGCAGCCACTGTGGAAAACAGTTTGGTGGTTCCTCAAAAAAGTTAAACATAAAACTTTCACATGACCCAGCAATTCCACTCCTAGGTATAGACCCAAAGAAACTGAAAGCAGGGACTTGAATAGCTATTTGTACACCAATGTTCATACAGCATTATTCACAATAACCAAAAGGAAACAAGCCAAGTGTTTATCCACAGATGAATGGACAAACAAAATAAGGTACATACATACAACAGAACACTATTCACTATGCAGGAGTGACATTCTGACACAGGCTACAACACGGATGGGCCCTGAAAGCATTACACTAAGGGAAATAATCCAGACACAGAAAGCCAAACACAGGATTCCATTTCTATAAGGTACCTAGAATAAGCAAAGTTAAAGAAACAGAAAGCAGAATAAAGGCTGCTGGGGGTGGGGAAGGAGAGGGGAGGAGAGGGGAGGAGGAAAGGGGGAGTTCTTGTTAAACGGGTACAGAGATTATGTTGCGGATTCTGAAAACGCTTTCGGCATAGAGAGTGGTGATGGGCACACAGCTTTGTGAATTTTTTTAATTTTTTTTTTTTTTTAAAGATTTTTATTTTATTTATTTGTCAGAGAGAGAGAGAGAGCACAAGCAGGATGAGCTGCAGGCAGAGGGAGAAGCAGGCTCTCTGCTGAGCAAAGAGCCCAATGCCAGATGCTGGACTCAATCACAGGACCCTGGGATCTTTGTGAATGTATTTAATGCCAGTGAACTGTATATTTGCAAATGGGTAAAATAACAAATATTATGTTATGCAGATTTTACTACAATCAAAGTAACGTGGAGGAAAAAGGGGGGGGTAATATGATACACAGTGAAAAGACAGGAATGAAATAAACCCAAATGTCAGCAGCTATTCTGAGAAAAGAAATATTTGGGTGGCTTCTTCTTTCTTTTAATCATTTTTCTCTTTTTCCCAATTTTCTTTCGATTGCTCTTCGGATGGGAAAAAATAAGTTATGTTTTTTAACAGGTCTCATGTTTTTAGGTTTTGATATTTACATAATTCGTCAGCCCAATTTTTCCTTTGTAGGTACAAAGTTTCTTCGCATTTGGAGCAGCAATTACACAAGACTCACTTCACCAGGGGCCACAGGAAAGGAAATGGTCACTTAAAATAACTTCAAGTTCTCTGCTGCACAGAGGTCAAAGCTAATGTTCTCTTACAAGCTGGCCTGGCCCCAGGGCCCTTGAGCCCACTGGCTACAACCCAACGGGGGGCAATCCCTCCCAGTATGGGGGTTGTTCTCTCTGCCCTCTGGGCACTGGATGAAGACAGAAAAGGCTTCAGGGGGACAATTTCCCCTGGATGTGTGATAAAGTCCACAACTGGACCTTCAAGCAATAAATTAAAACAGGAATAGTAATTTAAAATGCAAAGTGAGAATTTGCCTTAAATTTAACCACTCAAAATAATTAGTATTAATTCACCCTTAAAAGTATCCCAAGCCCTTCCCAGAAGGTCCCATTTATATAGCAAATGATACTGACATTGTACTGGGTTTTTATGCAGGAGTCCAAAGGACCTGTTCTCCCCTTTCTGACAAGTAAATAAAACGGCAGGGAGATCAAATAACTCACTAAAAAGAAGATATAATTTTTTATCTTCCTTTTTACAGTCTCATATCCACTTCCGTTGGGAATAACAAAGTCTGAATTCTTATGCAACACTTATCTAAATGTGTCGATTTTATCGGATTGATGAATTTTGCTAACAAAAGGCAGCGCTAGGAAATCTTTTATGACATATTTGGCCCATTCACAGGCCTGGAGCTTTAATTTAACCAACTTGAGAATTCTGAGGGAGAGTTGCAGGTGTTGGATCTGAAAAAAAAAATCATAAATGGGAAGGCATATCAATCTTTATGACGGGGAAACAAAAACACTCTCTACTTGCTTGCCCTCCACAGGCAGGAGAAGGAGAGGTGGAAGGAGCAGGATATTGTCTCAGGCTGCATAGCAAAGAGGAAGCATCGCTGTCTCCCAGTGACCGCTATTTAGTATTGATCAAAAGGCACTAGCCCGGAGAGGAAGAGAGGAATTGATAAAACAATGAGGTTTGCCAACACTCTGTGCTCAACAAGGACATTTTCTCATTTTCTTGACCACATCAGAGTAAGTCACTCCTGTGGCCGCCTGAGCGAGCAGGCAGCTCTGTCCCCCCACCCCTCCCACCACCCCCAAGGCTGCCCAGCAGCACTGCCACCTTGCCACCCCCATGGACAGTAAGCAGAGTCAATCACTTGACAAGGCCTGTTGCTTCTCCTGTTAAAGGTCTCCCCAGGTCAGCCTCCCCTTCCTCCACAGCCTTAACGGAGACCACATTTCTCCCCCTGGGAACACCACCACGCTGCCTCTCCCTGTCTGTTCTCCCCCTGGATCCTCGTCACCAAGCCATCCTTCCACCTGCCGCCAGCTATCTCTGGATGGGAGAACCTTTCAGCCACTTCCTTGCACAAACTCATTAAGGACTCCCTACTTTCCGCAAGACAAAATCACAAACCCATTGGTGTGAAATACTACGACAGTCCTTTGTGATTTTGTCTTTCCCGGTCTCCCCTCCAACAGCAAAGTCTGTCCATCCATCCATCCATCCAATTTAACAGTCCTCTGAAACAGAAACATCCAGTCGTCCACCAAAACCACGCTCCACTGGGGCGCCTGGGTGGCTCAGCCGTTTAAGCGTCTGCCTTTGGCTCAGGTCATGATCCCAGGGTCCTGGGATTGAGTCCCACCTCAGGCTCCCTGCTCAGCGGGGAGTCTGCTTCTCCCTCTGCCCCTCCCCCTGCTTGTGTGCTCTCATTCTCTCTCTCTCTCTCAAAAATAAATAAATAAATATTAAAAAAACCAAAAAACCAATTTCCCCCTTTTGATAACCGAGTTGCAGCTAAGCAGATGGTGAGGGGATCCGTTTCCCGGGCTCTCTGACACCACGGCATGGGTGACATGAGCAGGTAGGACTGAGTCCTCCCTCACCCACAGAATCTGTGGGAAGGGTGTGTGCCCCTTCTAGGTCCAGGCATTCCTGACACACTGGACCCTCCTTCAAACGTGAACGCAGTAGTGCCCATGCCTGGCTTTGACCACACGGACAAGGACACACCCTACAGTAGAAGGGCAGCAAGATGGAGGAAGCCTGGGTTTCTGAATGCTGTGCAGAGAAGAACCCCCTCCAACCGTTCACATTAAGAAATTACCTAGAAAATCAACTTCTAGTTTCCTCATGCTTCTGTATTTTTTGGTCTCTTGCAACAGCATTTTAGCCTTTACCCTTGATGAGAGTAAATGCCAGGCAAGATCCCACTTACTAGGACCCACGGCTGACACCTGCCTACCCAATCTGTGTTAATGAAATGACCTGTGCCCCAGGACCAGCTTATACAAGTGGATACACCACTCATCAACAAACCTACTTGGTGTTCTCCAGGGTCCTCTGCATTTTCTTGGTCATTTTATCAATCGCTGCTTGTCTCTTCCCTTCAGCTAAGAGGTCTATTTTGTTCAGCACCACAACCAGCTTCTGGCAGGCGATCTGCCCAATCACAAGGCACTCCGCTGACTGGGTCTGCATCCCTTTGGTCACATCAATGACCAGCATCATCAGATCAATGATCTGGGCCCCTGCAAGGAGAGAGAGAAGACAAGATTAGAAAGGGAAATGGGGGAGAGGACTCTGCAGAAAGTGGCCTGATGTTTGAGGTTAAGCAAAATCAGCCAAATTAAAGTATTAAGATAAAAGTGGGTGGGGTGGGAAATGAATGACCACCACACACCTTCTAGCTCCGGCCTCGGGGGAGGGACTCTGATCACGTGATTTCACAGAGTCCTCATGACCAACCACCATGAGGGATAGACGCGTTACCTCATCTGGAGAGAAGGAAACTGAGGCCTGTGAAATACAGAGAGCTCGCCCAGAGCCCCATAGCCAGCATGCAGCAGAGCTGGGGGACCCCAAAACCCACACCATTTTACTGCCTCAATCTTCTCATTTTCATTCCATCCTACCTAAGAAAAAATATCCAAGCAGGAAATATCTCAGTTTTAGACTTGGCAAATGCCTAGAGATTTGGCCTTGCCAAGACAGCAGACAGAAAGATCAGAAAACTAATGTGGAGGCCTGGAGGTTGTGTCCTCTGTGATTCCTGGGTCTTCTCCTCACAGTAGTTGGTTTTCGTCATGATCCTCCCACCCACGGCTGCAATATAGCTACTCACTTCTTCTGTCCTTTCCATTCTGGGTGGGAAGCTCCTGCTCTTTCAGGGAGGGTAAGAGCAATCCAAGGTTCAGCTACCTCAACAGTGAATACCATATATGTAAGTGTGTGTGTGTGCACATGTACATATAGGGGTGTTGTGTGTGTGTGTGTGTGCACTCTATATTACACAGGCATGCCTGGTTGTGAGCACGCCCTAAATACACAGCCACAGCTGAGCTGAACAGCAGCAGAGGGACAAATTACAGAGGAGTCAATGAAAGGAAACTGCCCTGACCCATGTTAGGAAAACTAATGTTAGCCAATGAAGGGAATGTGTCCTTTTTAATAGGATTTTTAAGTAGTTTCACAAAAAAAAAAAAAAAAAAAAAAAGGTGTTATCTTGGGGATACAGGAATATGCAGATATTTTCCCCTTTGCCCCAGAAGGGATTTTTAGGACCAAATTATCGTCATGGTGCTACAGAGGATGGGTGACTCATGACCCAAGCTCACTCCTGGGAAAGGAGGGAAGGTGAGGAGGGGCAGTCTTTCCTGTTGGCACATTCACCTTGCGTGCTAGTCAACCACTTAATCTCCACAACCACTGTTTCAAAGAAGGTGGGACTCAGAGTCATGGGGCTACTTGCTCTAGACCAACGAGCACCAAAGGCCACCAGACACCAGGGAGCCTGGCCCCACCACTGAAGCACTCTTCCCTGGTCACCACTGACCTGCACAGTGGGAAAAACAGTAGGTGTCTGGCTCTAGGCAGGACTCAGAGTCTAGCCCCGTGACTCAATTCCCTATTGGTATACACCACTACCCAGGAATGCCTTGTCTGGGCCCAGTGGCTGAAGGGGAAGGACTCATGTATTCCATGCATTTAGCCTATCTTACTGATGATGCCTGTTGGGCTCCTGGGGACAGAAATGAAACTGGCCTGACAAACCCAGAAAGACAAGTGCAGCCAGGCCCCAAACACTCAGGCTGGTGAGGATTTCCTCTGCGGCCTTACTCCAGCATCTACAAGCCGCCTTTGTTGAGAGGAGCACACAGCTTTGCTCCAAAAGGCCAGGCTCTCGAGCAGACCCGCTGAGGCGCAGCCAACATCAGGCACTTCTAAAGAGACCAGAGGTCACTGCGACTTGACAGGCCCCACTGCGAACCAGGGGTCAGCAGCAGGCAAGTGCCCGCTGCCCAGCAGCAGCTCTCAGTTACTCCCGTTTCGTCCTCAAACTTTTCATCAGACGACAGGAAGTGACATAACTGGCCCGTCTTGTCTTTTTCAAAATCCCCAGTATTCCAAAGAATGAATCAAACAGTGTCCTTCCCAATTCCCACGAACCCAGGGTAGGAAACCATTCTGAGACCAGAGGGGCACAGCGAACAAGTGGGCGGGAAACACAAGTCAGGAACTTGCAGCTTACAAATGACCCTCTATATTTTTCCGTCTATCAGACCTTTTCATCTAGTTGTTCTGACTATAGATCCCTTTAAAGGTTTGCAGAATAATTATAACAGGGTTAAAGTTTCTCAGTACTTTAAAAAGTTACAATTTCCAATTCTGTAGATTATATATCTTAATCTTTTCAAAAATAAAAATAAAGAAAAACTTACAAAGGTCAGCATTTAACAAAGTGTAAGTTATCTGTGAGATGTAATTTTCCTTCTGAGATTGAAGAAAAAAGTGTGTTCAGAGAAAAGATTTCGGCTAGAGAAACGGAATATAAAACTTTAAACATTTTAGCAACCTCAAAATCACATCTTTAATCATAAAATTTGATTTTTTAATCAAAAGCTATGTACACCCTAAGAAGGAGAAAACAATATTAAATTTAAAATAAAAATGTATTTTTAACCGGTGACTTATTAAATATTCAATAAACAATGTAAATACATTGTCCTATATAAAGTATAACATAAAATATATATGTAATATAAAATATATATATATTATATATATATATAATAGAAAATTATAGTGGCCATTTCTATACTATTATTAATATGACCCATGTGCCTAAATACATCAGACCTCTGTGTGCCTTGGCGTCCTCGCGAGCATGAGGACAGGGATGAGCCCAGTCAGTGGGCCGCAGTGAAGACTAAAGGAGACAACATGTGGGGAGGGCTCAGAACAGCACCTAGGCCATAGGAAATCTTCAATAACATGAGCAGCTCTGACTGCTTTTCCTTCTACAACTCCAACTGTGGCACGCATGTGGTATTCTACAGATCTGCTTCTCGTCTTAACTGCACCTCAACTTTGCCATGTGGGTATCACAGATGAGAAAACAAAGGCTCAGAGAGGTGAAGTGACCAAGTCAAGGTCAGGAGCAAGGACTCAGTCAGAGCAATGTGAACTCGGACCCACTGGCTTCTTTCTACCACAGCATCCTGTGTCCCTGAGCGATCCTGTGTCCAGAGTGAAGCACTTACTCTGTACATGGGTGGGGACACAGGTGCATGCCCCTGTGGGTACTGCAGGACAGCAGAGCAGGGGTCAGAAGTCCCCCTTGGGGCCCAGGGTGGGAGGAGGGGCTGCAGCTCTACAATCCCAAGGTGCCCTCATTGCTATTGTTTGTATTCATTTATTCAATGTATTGTTTGCTTCTCTATTTTACAGGCAAGAAGACTGAGGCTCAGACAGGTTAAATAACTTGTCCCAAGCTATCCAGCGAGGGTGAAAACCCAGTATTGGATTGACATCAATACAGGCTCACCTGTCCTGGCCCTGACTCTCTGCCAGGAGGTGTCAAGACTTCCATAATATGGGGGCCATTTGGCCCCCTTATAGAGAGTCCACTCAGGTGTGTGTCCATTCTGTGCAACTTAGTTTTCCTCCTTTTGCATACTTTCCTCAAAGTACAGTGACCTGAAGTTTCCCTGTCAGATTCCTACTGGCACAGTACAGTGTACAGCTGTGAACCAGGGCTGTCTGTCCTGCCCTCCTCAGCACAGAATCAGAGGGTTTGGATATGGAAGGGGCTTAGCAAAGAAGGTCAATGTTCAGGTGGGGAGCCAAGGGCCACGAGTGGGAGGAAGAGGTGGGAGCAGGGCTTGGAGACACCCAACCAGGCATTCAAACCACAGCCCCAGTGGGGGCCTCTGCTTCCTCATCTGTAAATCAGAATCTAAACAAAGATGCCCACTGCAAGAGGTTGGCGGGGGAATCAAAGGGGAAGGCCCGCCGGGCCCTCAGTAAGCAGAGCTGCATTTAGGGCTGTCAGTGCTGAGCCAAGCTCTCAGCCCAGCCTCACATTCAGAGTCGTACTGCTCCCACCTGTCCAGGAGCCCCCCAGGCAAACACATGTGGACAAAGGAGTGAGGTTACTGACTGAGTGTGGGGCGTGGAGAAGGAAGAGTTCTCGGAGTGGTCAGGCGTGGGGCCCCCATGGTGTCCATGGACCTAGCACCCACCAGGGCACAGGTGGCATGTTTGACTTGCACACACTGCCCGCCAGCCCCTCTCCTTGCCCTCCCTGCCTCCCCTCGCTGGAGTCACACATTCGTGATGTCCCATGCCACTACACAACTGCCAGGGTCACTTCACACACCGCAGGACAGGCCAGGAGTCCAACAGACTGGAGGCGCTGGCCAGGCCCAGCCCCTCCAGTAGGGGACCAGAAAGCCAAAGGAGATCCCAGTCACTGGAGGAGGCCCCAGTGCCCGTGACCCTTGTTCCTACCAGATGATGGTTTTCTGGTAGGAACAATTTCAGACAAAGGGAAGTTTCTTAATGCTATATACCCTCTCTGAGCTCTCATTCCTCGTCTGTAAAATAGGGACAATAACTCCATTTTGATTTCTACGGACCTGATAGAAAATCTCAGACACGGAGGTAGGAGATAGCCCAGAGGGATGGCATACTTGCAAATGGGGCACATGAGCAAAAGAATCCTCGGGGTGGGGGGAGGGTGGGTGCTGCCCTTTGGCGGGAGGAAAATAGCATGGCTTGGAAGCCCACCTGCAATGCCCTGGCAGGCACATGAGAGATGCAGGGCGGGGAGGCGGGGAGGCGGAGGAGCCAGCCCCCAAGCCCAGGCACCGCTTCCCTCCTGCCAGCTGTGCAGCCTCAGGCAGAGAGACCTTGTGACCTCTCGGAGCCTGGGATCCCTCCCCTGTAGCCTGCCGACCCAGACACAACACCTTACAGGGCAGGGGCCTGCACAGCGCGTGGCACATACTAAGAGCTCAATAAACACAAGCTGCTATCATATAGGTACTTGTATCACGGTGCCCAGCACCATAGAAGCGCAAAAGGGGCCATCTCCTTCCCCCATAGGCCCCATGCCCTTTACTGGCTGAGAAGAAGGGAGAGTATTAATGGCAGCATGGAACAAATACTAGCAATACCTCCCCCAATCCAGCAGTATCTCCGAGGGCCCTCACAGGGGGCACTGGTGAGTGCCAGCCAACAGCTGGGA